TGCACTAACACAACACAGGGTGATAATATTATGCAGCTTCTCCCTTAAAACTGCTCAAAGCCAACACACAGAAGAAAAACCAAATGAGTGTTTGTTAATCTGCAAGATGACGACAACTGAAACTATACCAAATTCAGCAGGAAATGGGACACAGCATTAGCACTCAGGGTATGGGAGTTGAAGAAAGCTGAACAGAATTTAGAAGAAATACTGCACCCTAAGCCACGTCAAAGAGCATCATGAATTTTCTTGTTGGGTAGCACACATATGGCTTTGAGCAAATGGTTTGGCAAATGCTGACACTATGAGAAAATATAAGGCACGAAACTTTTGAGGAACCCAGTGAATGCAATGGCCTGAGACTGGATCTGCAAACAGTCACGAGAGGTACATGTGGAAAGCATTTTCTAGATTTCAACTAACAAACTGCAGGCAGTGCCACAGCACCTCCAGCTAAGGAATACATCAGTCCTGAACTGCTAAGCTCACTCATCAAGGTACACCCCTATTCTTCTACTATTCAGCTTGTTTGGCTGTGAAAGAAAGTGAATCAATACAGCTCTGTTTGTTCCCTACACAAAACAGCAAATCCTCAGAACATGAACACTTCCTCACTGTTTAGGAATCCCTGGAACTGATTCTACCAGCAATCAATGGCTCTGGCATCCACATCCATCATGGACCGACTGCTCTGCTAAATTCAAAGCAGCTTGTTAGTCAGTAAGTTGTTCTTCAAAATCCACAAGAAATCTCATGCTATCAAACTGATGAGATTTTATCGGCACGAGAAGATTAAATGCTGGGAAAAACATTGCTTAGTTTATATAATGACATCAATCATCTTTTAATTCTGATTTACTGAGCTCTCAAACAAAGGGGGATGATAATCTTCCAGCAATCATGACCTAACTGCAGTGTAATGTGGAAACCACAAATTGCTCCAAAAAGCGGCTCCACAAAAGATGAACAAAGCAAACTTTGCCCAAGCTGGAAACAATTAGCAGTTAAACAAAGGCAGAGGGGAAAAAGAAAAGCAATGTGGAACTACAAATTCTACTGAAGGCTTTATGAAATAAAGAAATGCCACAGTCAGTGTTTGTGAGAAGACCCAAGTTTGAAAACAATGGTTGCGTGCGGAAGTTTGCATCAGGTCTACAGAAATACAGACACTGAAGTGGATGCAGTCAATGTGCTGGGGACAAATTCAGCCTCCAGAGGGAGGTTTATGGGCTGCAGGAGGGGCTGAGAGCAACCCCACAAGGCTCAGCATGGCCAAAGGCAAGGCCCTGCCCACGGGACATGCTCTGCCCCTGGCTGGGGACACCTCTGCTGGGAAGGGCTTGGGTCCAAGGGGAGGCTGAGAGAACAGGACTTACTGGGAAGGAGAAGGCTTTGGAGAGAATCATTGAATTCTTAGAGTTGGAAGGGACTTTTAAAGGTCATCTAGTCCAACTCCTCTGCAATGAATATGTACAGCTGAATCAGGCTGCTCAGGGCTTGATCCAGCCTCATCTTGAAAATCTCCAGGGACGGGGCATCAAACACATCACTAGGCAACCTATTCCAGTAGCAGTCCTTCAATACCAACGAGGTTACTTAGAAAGACAGCATTCACAGAGGTGAATTGTGAGAGAATAGGGAACTGTGCTCACAAGCTGAAAGGAGGGGGAGTGGGGGAAAAAAAAAAAAAAGCAATCATGTGGGTGATTAAGCTTTGGGAGCACCCAACATCACTTGATGGTGACCCATAAGACAAACTTACAGCCAGCAAAATGGAAGCCTTATCAAATCAGTTGAAAGGAGACAAGTGATGGGGTCCTGTCTCAGAAATAACTACTTAGCTCATTCGAGATGGCAGAGCATCCTCTGGCACTGAAAAGGTCTGTTAATGTAAGCAATCAGTCATAACCCAGGACTCCAAATCACTTCTGCAGCTGAAAAGTAGAGGGCTGAATAGTGAGGTTAGCTCAGTGCACCATTTAGGAAAAGGGATACTGATGACTGGCCAGGTTTGTTGTACAACTTCCCAAAAAGTTACTGAGATCTTGCAAAACGTGCAAGGAAGTGCAGAATTACCAAAGCTGCATGAACAATTGTATGCATTTTAAAGAATTAACTTAAAAGTGACCTGACGATCAGAGGCTGAAAGAATCAGCAGGGAAGAGGCTGAGGAGGAGCTGACAGCTCCTTCCTCAAACTGACAGATACCCTGAAGAATGGAAGATGAAGCTGCACGAACACAGGTGTCAAATAAGACAGGATTTTTCACAGCAATTAGTTGAAGAACTCGAGCTCTGAATTTTGCATCATTTTTCAGTTTTCAGGCAAGACTGCCTTCCCAACAGCCACAGCTATATGCTCCAGTATAAGCCATGGACCTAATGCAAAAAGTTAAGTTCCTTATGCAGAGAGATCCTAAGTGTCCTTTGAAGCCTGATCTATAATGCAAACATTCACAGTATGGCTGTTCTCCGAGGATCAGTAATGGAGATCTGATATCTGAGATGTGACTACAAATACAGCTTTGAGAACCTGCAGGAAGAGAAGCATTTTTGATGACTTAATACCAGCCCAGAGAACTGAATGAACTCCAGCTCCACGTTTTAAATAACCAGAGACAAGCTTCAGATTAGCTGTTAACTTCTCAAGCAGCCACACTAAGCTTCAATGTCTGTGAAAGGATCTCAGGATTTGCAATCTGAAATGACATCAGTGAAACAGTCATCTCCCCCAGGAGAACCACAAAAGACCACTCAATGTACATTTGTTTTGGCTTCTACAAGCCATACACTCCCACACTGCCAAATGACCACAGGCATTTCCTTATGATATCCACTACACACAGATCTTTGTAGACAGAACTGTTTGTATATGGTTGTGTTTGCATATCTATGTGTAAATACAGCATGCATGTATATCACAGATACATTATCTGTATGACTGTATTATGCACATAAAAATAACTCAGGGAAAATTCAGTAAAGTTCCCCTATTAATCACACTGTGCAATGCAACATTTTCTTAAGAGAGGGACAGAACCACAGCAGTTTTACTCTATAATGAAGTGCTCAGACACTACATGGCATCTATTCCCTAGGGAGACAAAAATGCAAGCTGCAATCACATCCTTTTGAGACCAACTGTAATAAAAACAGTCATTTCTCCCCATTGCAATCCCTAGGCAGGCATTACTGGTTTTGTTTTCATGATGCTTGAAAGATATACAATGGATAATCCAACACTTCCTATCAAAAACTCAGCACTGAATGTGTCAAACTCACCTAACACCAAATCTACACAAAGCACCAAAGAAGTTACCACAGTAGAACATGAATTTCACTTATCTGGATAACTGTGATGAGTCTACCCCACAGTTTACTAAGTTTAAAAACAAAAAACAATGGTCTGTGCAAAAACATTTTTTAGCTTTGAAGGCTGATGAAAAACCTCCATTTCCCTTTAACTTTTTCCTCAATAATTGCTATCTGAAAACACTTCCACGTTCTTAGAGCAGGAAGTACACATTTTGAACTCCTCTTCTGAGGGAGCTGGGATTTCAAAAGCACGTAGCATTCTTCCCTTGTTAGGGTTCCCTAGGTTTCCAGTTTCTGAACGAGCCTGGGAGATGCATGACAGTGATTTCTTCTTTTTGCCATTCTTTAGCTGGTTCGATGTCTTGCAGCACTGCTAAGCCTCAGAAGACCTGACAGAAGACTGTGCTCACGCCGTGGGAGCATCACTGCTTACAAAACCTACCTAGACTCCACCACTGCTCCCCTCTGCCAGTTATAAGAAACAAGTGCTGAGTTGGAGATGCAGCAGCAGGTATGTAGCCTCCTCACCATTCCCAAAGAGCACACATAGACACCTTCCTGGCAAGATGTTAGAGAATAATTCAGTCTAGCAGTGCAAACGAAGAGAATGCTTTGACCTGCCACCTCACCACACTGGTTTTGTTCCTCAGGCTGTCTGTAACTACTTGCTGTTTTATGGCTTGGAAGGTTTCCTGGCACAACTTGCCACGTGGACATAACAAAACTAGAATGAAAACCACTTCCAGATTAGTTTTCTACCAATTTTCACTGACCTTAGGCTAACTGTCTCATCCCCACCCTGCAAATACTGATGAGTACCAGACTGGCTACAAGGTCTTACTGAAACAAATAATAGCTGGGAAGATGCAACCTAAATCAGATATACTGCCCAACTCTGCATTTTCAACAAACTCCTCACACCAACATTTACCTGGAAATTTTGTTCAGTCTTGAAGGTTAACTTTGCCCAAAGTACCAGAAGAGTTTAATTAAAATAAGCAATCCTGAAATGCCAAGTCAATATTTGATACATTTAAGGTATGCATCCATGTAATGGAAGGTGATGCAACTTCGGACATCCAGGTAAGGGGGAAATTATTACTTTTGTTCATATCTATCACCACACTTAGCTGAGAGGTACACATTCACAGCTTGTCATCAGGCCACTAATCAGAAAACCATAAAGAGTATTTTAAACATGAAGTTTTCCACTGCTGGGTTTCAAATGTGCCCCAGTTTCTTACAGTTTAATAAAAGCATGCAACGTGTAAGGCTTGTGAACAAAAAAGCAGCATTTTGAAAGAGACAGAGAGAGATTGGATCTTTTTGCTGGCCTTTAAGTGAAAGGCTGCTCATGTAGCTGTGCCAGAAAAAAATCGCTATCGTTTGCTCCACAGAACATATGCAGCTTCAGGGAAAATCTCAGGAACAAGAAGCCAAAGACCATCTATTCTGGGGATGTGATTACATTATGGTCAACAATTTGAGCATATGGTGCATACCACCACTGCGCTGAGTTTACTTTCCCAGATCAAGCTTATTTTTGTTTGAATATCTGGTTGCCGATAGACTGAGTCACTCTACTGCCTTAAGTACCAGCTTAAATGCTATAAAAGGACTGACTGGGAATCACAGAGTACAGTGTGTGTTAAGGAACAAAATGCTTTAAATAAACCACTGACTCACCTTGTCACGCAGATGATGTTCTGCAGCCTCAATATTCAAAGGATCGTCAAAATTCAAAAGATCCTGGAAAAGAACCAGAAAACATTATAGGGTTTCCTCCAAATTTTCCCCAGCGCTAATAAACAAGAAAAAGAAGCAAAGCAAACAAGAGTAGCAGGGGAGGTTTAGATTGGATATGAGGAGGAAGTTTTTCACACAGAGGGGGCTGAGGCACTGGCACAGGTTGCCCAAGGAGGCTGTGGATGCCCCATCCCTGCAGGCATTCAAGGCCAGGCTGGATGTGGCTCTGGGCAGCCTGGGCTGCTGGCTGGCGACCCTGCACACAGCAGGGAGTTGGAAGTAAATTGTGGTCCTTTTCAACCCAGGCCATTCTATGATTTTATGATCTCACATCTTCTGTACAGGTCCCTGCAAACAAGTTGGGCAGTTGAAACTGAATCAAACATCAGTTAAAGGACAGCAGCAGCAAGACACTCCATCTCATCTGACTGCATGCAGCCACATGCAGCCCCTATGACACACTCCTCAGGCAGTGATGCATCTCCGTTTGAAAAGAGACAGAGTTTTAAAACAAGTTTTGAAGGAACATTCAGAGCTTCAGGAGGCGTAATTGTTGATGATTTTCATTAATTAGAGTTTATTTTACTGTGAATCATAATTAAGTTTGGTGATAAAGCAGGGAGAATTTCCCTAATGTCATCTACAAGAGCAACACAATTTCATTCCCTCTAAATTGGAGCAACAGACAGGGAATGCTTAATGCAATGGGAAACACATGACCAGAAGGCAAGGAAGTGCACAGACCCCATGAGATAATGGCTCAAGAAGGCGAGGAGCAGAAAGAGTCAAAAATAAATCTGAGTTCCACCAGTTTAATCTCAATGAATGACTCCAAAAGGTGAAAGTGCCCAGGGTTAAGAGCAAAGAAAGCCAGCTATGGGTAACACATGAATCATCACAAAAATAATGTGGTGTCACAGAAAAACCCTCCTCTGCCTGCAGACTGGACCATTTTCCTCAGCTGAAGGCTGGCCTCTGAGAGCAGTGACACGCCACCAGTGTGAAAGGCTTTGCTGCTCTCAGACTGATTTTCACTCACTGTCTTCATGAAAACCCCATCAGAATCTGCACGGACCACAGAAACACACTTCCCTCCAGAAACAAAACTTTCCTCTGAAAAAGCCTGCCATACAACGCCTGAGTTGTAGAAGCAGTGTGGGAGGAAAATCCAAGAGCAAGCTGCAAAACATGGCTCTTCCAGGACATGACAGATCCCTGTGGTCTCTAATGCATGACCATCAAGTGCTGCTGTCTGCCCAACAGATTATTTTTCTGTGCAGTTGTGTAAGGGACTTCTTTGTATCTCTGTATTGAACTTCCCTCTGGTTACTTAACATGCAGTGGGAGACTAACAGAAACACAATTACTGTTTGCTGTCCAATCCTGTAAATCAGTTGACTAAAACAGCCATCTAAAACGAAGCCTTCAGCAGCCGTGAAAGCAAGATGACTGCAGCCAGTCCCAGGCTCAGCCTGCATGGAGGTTCTAGGAACGCACCGTGACTCCTGGTGATGGCGTGGAACACGCTCACTGCTCTGCCACCCCACGATGCTGTCAGTCTTCTGGGCTGCAAGTGGACACTGCTGGCTCACATCCAGCTTGTCGTCCATCAGGACCCCCAAGTCGTGCTCTGCAGGGCTGCTCTCAATGGGCTCTTCTCCTAGTCAGTACGCATGTCTGGCACCTGGCCTTGTTGGACATCATTCAGCTCGCATGGACCCACTTTTCAAGCTGGTTCAGGTTCCTGTGGGTGGCATTCCTTCCTTTTATTGTGTTACCCGTACCACTCAGCTTGGTGTTGTCCACAAACTTGCTGAGGTACACTCAATCTCACTATCTACATACCTGATACAGATGCTCATGAGCACTAGTCCCAAGACAGACCCCTCAAAGACACCGCTCTTTACCAGCCTACACCTGGACATAAAGCAACTGACAACAACCCTCTGGCTGCAACAATCCAACTGGTTGTTTATCTACCAAATAGAACAGCCTTCAAATCCGCATTTCTCCAATTTAAATAAAGACCATATCCAAGCCCTTGCACGAGTCCAGTAAGATCACATCAGTAGCCCTTCCTTGGTCCACCAATGCCATCACTCCATCATAGAAGGCCACCGGATCAGTCAAGTACCACCTGCCCTTGGTGAAGCTGCCCCAAACCACCTCCTCATCTTGAATGCATGCTAATGTGGCTTCCAGAAGGATCTACTCCATCATCTTTCCAGGCACAGAGGTGAGGCTCACCGACCTGTGTAGTTCTCTGAGTCTTCCTTTCCCTCTTAAGAGTGATGCTTCCCTTTTTCCAGTCACCAGGGACTTCACCTGACAAGACTCTTCAAACATGTTGAAGAATGTCTTGGCAACAACATCAGCCAGTTCCTCCAGAAGCCCACGATGCACGTTGTCTGGCCCCTAGACTTGTAAACATTCAGCCTCATGAGGCAGTCTTGGACTTCCTCTGCTCTTGGGAAGGAATCTGGTCCTCCCAAAACCCCACCTGGAGGTTCAGGGACATGAGAGGATTGGGAAGCCCAATTAGCAGTGAAGATCAAGGTAAAGAACTCATGGAGTACCTCAGTCTTCTCAATGTTTGTTCCTTCCAGTTCTCCTCATTTATCAGAGAGGGTACATTCTCCTTTGCCTTTTTCTTCTGACCAACTTATCTTTTTGTTATTTTTCATATTGCTCACAAAGTTAAATTCCAGCTGCGCCTTGGCTTTCCTGATCCCATCTCTGCACATCTGGATGGCATTCCTATGTCCTTCCCAGGGCATCCGTCCCTGCTTCCACTGCCTATACTTTCCCTTCTTATCCTTCAATTTGACCAGCAGGTCCCTTAGATAGTGTAACTCATTATCAAAGTATATAATAATAAACTGCAACCAAAAGGAAAAACAATCTACAAAAACATGGTCATTAGAGATCACCTGTATGTGTCCTGCAGTTAACAAAAGCACAAACTGATTTTCTGCTTGTACAACACCTACTGAGGCCAAAGGGATAAAGACCTCAAGAGGCAACATTAGGTGAGGCTGAAACCACACAAGGCAGACAGAAAGAACGTGGATATGCAAAGGATTCATTTACTTACAGTAAATAAAGAGTTTAATCCCCAGACAACATCCTGCAAGGGAAAAGCAGAGTCAGTTAGGCATGCGTTTCAGGTGTTCCAAACAAGCTGACATTCTTTTTCTACTAGCCCATTAGCTTACTGGAAATCAAATCAAGATTAAGCTTTACAAATTTAAATCAAAATAGTGGGAAATCTTCCACATCTCATGCATGCCTAAAATATCAAAGTTTCCAAACCCCAAACACTGAATACTCAAATACAAGTTCAGATTTTCCTTATTCCTGATGCTTCTCTGCCAAGGAGAGGGGCAGTAACTTACATGCCACCACCTGATGACCTCACAGCTTAGTTCAAATGGTGGGTATACAACTTAATTTAGCAATCTGCTCTTAAAAATAATGTCAGGCAAATACTTGAATCAGTGTCATGACAGCACCGAGATTTAGGGTAGTATGATTACAGAGATACCAGCCTTGCTTATAAGCATCTGTTTAAAAAGAACTGAATAGAGAAGATTTGCAACTGCTGCAAATAAGAAGATTAAGGGTAAACTGACTCTAAATGTCCCCTCATTTGGTGCCATCAAGCACAGCCTGTTCTGAGGGTGTGCATCTCCAGAAGGGTCCGTTACCACTCACCTAAGAGCCCATATCCTCAGTTACAAGCCTCACAGACTAAGAAAACAAACAAGATTCAATTACTACAGAAGCACACTCAAAAGGATCGCCCACCACCAGGAAGGTTTCCAAGAGAAAGGATTCTGAAATCACATAACCAAGCTATCATACTGCAAACACTTGGGGAATTCTGCATTCCCTCTAAATGACATCCAGTTACACCCTAAGTAATCAGCAGGATGACAGCAGCCTCCTACCAATCCGTTCTCCTTTGATCTTGCATATACAACTTGCTCAGTGCATCTTTTACTGACACAAAGCTGCCTAGTAAAGATCAGAGCATTTCTAGTTTCTGCATCTTCTCCTAATGGGACCTCAATGGCAGCACCAACTACAAAAAAAAGGGCACACCTGAGTTACCTCATCGAATCCAACTGCTCCAGTTAAGAGCTGCACCTCATAGAAGCGTTGCAACTCGAGACAGAAATGTAATTTACATCAAATTATTCCCCATGTCATTCAATAAACCCCATATTTTTAAGTTTACCCAAATTGCTTTCTAATTCTCAGTTGCTGAAACATAGTTTTAAGACTTTGGAATCCTGGACTTGTTATTTAATTCAAGCTGGCTTTTCAGAGAATTCTATCCAAAAACTCCCAACAAAATAAGAAAAAATCTTTGCAAGGCTGTAGCTTTTCAGAGTGCTTTGCATTTTTATGGTCACTCTAGTGACCAGAAAGTGTACAAAGATTACTATTATTACTGAACAAATGGTGTGAAAATCTTAATATTATTTCTGACCTGTTACCACCTATGCAAGTTTTATGACATGCTGGATTCATTTTACTCCCTTGCATGGTTCCATAAAAAATAATGCTAAATTACTACTAGAGGACAATGCCATTTGTAATGAGCTTGAGGCTAGCCCAGATTTAAATCCAGGATATTAAGACAGGGAAGTGGGATGGAACAGCTGAGAGGCAGTGAAGCAAGTATTTAATATTTGAAGAACTTGACACTGTTGTACTGCAAAAATAATCACTTTGCTCTACTGACTTCAGCAGAGCTGCTTGCTGCATGCAGATGAGCAAGGTGCCTGAATGCTCAATGTTCCCCTGACTATCTGAAAGGCTTTGCAAGCTACCAAACAATAGATACTGACAGATTTAATCGTTAAAAAAGCTAAGCTCCTGTTTTCTCTTAACGTAACAAAGCATTATCCTTGGCTACAAACATTACTGAACTTCCAGCCTGAATACTCGGAAAGCAGAAAGTTAACTCTATATAGAGAATGTTAATGATCATCACACAGCAGGAGGGTTGGAACTAGAAGATATTTGAGGTCCCTTCCAACCCAAGCCATTCTATGATCCAGGTAGGGCAGACTGCCTTTAAAATGTTAAGGATCTACAGCCTTACGTTGCTCCACTTCTTTAACACATTTCTCACTCCCCAGACTTTGCTGCCATGGAAAAAGTACCTGCAGAAGAAGAACTGAGCATAGGAATCTGCATGCTCACATGGAGAATATCTGGGCTAGACCATTTCCTTTACAATGCTTTTTTTTTTTTTGTCTATTTTCTTGCATGTGGTTAACGTGGTTATGGGGTGGTGGGTTTTACACACTCCACTACTGGGTTAATTTGGAAGATTCAACTATCATACTCCAATCAAAGAGCAAGGGTTAACCTCCCCAGCAGAGCAGTGCATGGTTAAATCCACTGTACAAGTGGAAGAAGATATAACGAAGGAAATAAGCTCCTTCTCACAGCACGATGATGTCAGCGTAAGAAACTCAGCAGATCAGACTTAGCAAGAACACTTTACAATTGCCCCTTTTCAGGCATTTTTTCCTGCCTTTGAGTGAAAAGTAGCTTGAAATCCCTTCCCCTAGGTTTATTCACAGCATACCAAATGAGGGAATTATAAACCCTGCAGCAACACTGAAAGGTCAAGAGCAAAGAGGCAAAAAGCTAAGTAGGGCCTTTGGAATAGCCTCTCCCCAGCCCAGGGACTCTCAAAGCCTTGTGTTTGTAGGAGGTCCTCATTCAGTCAGTCACCAAATATGCACAAGTGGCAGTTCTCACAAGCTCTTTACAAAAGCGATGCCATTGAAACCAAGTCAGAGACAAGTGTTTAGCTGTTCTTTCAGATGTCTGGGAAAATAAAACAAAAAAACAACCATACAGCAGTTCTTTTGAAGAGAGAGTCAACATGTAAATTGTAAATGAAGGTTTTCCCCCAGCAGGCAAAGTATATTTACTACACTAATTTAAGCAGGGAACAAGCCAGACAAAAGCAGCTAATGAACTTCCAATCAAAAGCAACTTCCTCAGAGATTCAAGAATTTCTGATCTAATAGACTAATTAAACTAAAGCTCGTCGCTAAAAGATTCTTATGTGCAAAAACTTTAATCTGTTCAGATCAATGAAAGAAGCAGCGATCATCCATACAAGCAGACGGGAGGTTTTAAAAAACTGAGTACTAAGTCCAGTGCAACACCATGGCAGGCTTTGGACACTGCCATTTAGGAAGGGGCACAACTGCAAACAGTGTGCTGAAATCTGCGGGCTGCTCTCTCCTGCCTGCAGACCTGCCCAAGATGGTCTTCCAGCTCCATTCCCCTTCTTCTCTCAGTTCTAACCAAGCACAGCACCCTTCTCTCTTCACTGCAGGCTAGAGAACCAAGCATGCTAGCCCATCTTCCTTTACAGAACTTCTCTGCCCCTTCAGTGTGCCTCCACAACCATTCTGGATTCTTCCCTGTGAATCACTGCTCTTTAACTGACTGCAGAAATCTTACTGCCAGTCTACAAGGTTAGAAAAACACGGCATGCTCTAATTCCAGAGACAGTAGACACTTCAACATGGATTCAGCATCCCTGGAGGCATTCAATAAAAGGGTAGACGTGACACCGAGGGACACGGTCAGCAGGCATGGTGAGGATGGGCTGACAGTTGGACTAGGTGATCTTAGAGATACTTTCTATCTATGTTTCTATGATTCTATAAACTGCGTATTTGGCAGAAGACTGCTTAGGGAAGAAGCAGGTTTTTGGAAAGCGAAGAATCACAGAACAGAATCACAGAATCATTAATGTTGGAAAAGATCATCTAGTCCAACCCCAACCCACCCCCACTAAACCGCATCCCTCAGTGCTCTTCTTGAGCATCTCCAGGGATGGAGACTCCACCACCTCCCTGGGCAGCCTGTCACAGTAACTCTCCACTCTTTCAGAGAGGGAATGTTTCCTAATACCCAAACTGAAGCTTTGCTTGGCACAACTTAGGGCCCTTCCCTCTTGTCCTATTACAGTTACCTGCAGGAAAAGGCCAACTTCCATCTTGCCACAACCTCCTTTCAGGGAATTGTAGAGAGTGATAATGTCACTCCCCGAGCCTCTCCCTGTCCTGCTCTCTACAACCCTGCATGTAACACTGCTGAATATCTTGCTAAATTCCTACATCAGCTAAAGCACCACTTTCACCCACAATAAGGTGGTATTCTTCAGTCCATCCCAAGGGCCACCTTAATTTTCACGTGCCTGCAGTCCCAGCTCATGCTTCCCACCCAAACACAACAGCAGCAGCCCACTTACAGGGCTCTGGGTAATTTAAACGGCATGAGCTGCTCCACTTAGCAAACACACAAAAAAAACACCAAAAGAACAATAATAAAAACAGAAGGAAGGCTGGAAAACGATTTCTTCTGTGCTCAAATATACTGGAGGGAAGAAAATAGGAACAATTATGGCTTGTTCCTCTCCTAGACAAAGACAGCTGTGAACTGCCAAGCATGCAGGAGCACTTCACTGAAATCCCCCGCTTTTGCTCCTGACTCCTTGGCATTTGTCCCCAGCCTCACCTTGGAGCAAGCAAACAATGTTTTGGAAATCATTCCCAGGGGAACTCTGCAATAGTTCTTAATGAACTACGCTACAGCAATTACGAACACTGGAGCGATCGCCCTCCGGAGACCAGTCTACTCAACTGATTAAAGTCAATGCAAATTGCATATTCAGAAATCAACAATTTGGGGAAAACAAGCATGGTTTAATTAGACTTCACAATGTACTACACTGTTCCACGAAATCACTCACAAAGTATGCCAGTGATAACAGCAACTGTGTTTAAAGCACAGATTCAGCGTTGCCACAGCCATTTAATGCAGAGAAAGAAAATTGCTGCAAATCCTTTATGAAGCAGAGGTTATCAGAGGACACCGAGTTGTGTTTCGTCACTGGTTTTGGCATGTGCAGAGAGAAAATAAATCTTGACAAGTAGATTTATAAAATCAAAATGCAATACAATGCACCCCTTGCAGAAAAAGTTCCTAATGGGAATTTTCCTTATGGGAAAACTGAAATAATGTCAGATCTGAGAGATCACACTCAGTGCCTCGTAACTTTAACAAATATAGGGTGAAGTTTTT